GTGATGAGGAGCCCTTCTAGTGCATCACAGGGGTCCTGCAAGACATATGACATCTACTTTAGTCCATATTTGGTTTTTATGGCAGTAAGCCTGGACATTTTAATTAATTCCTCCAGAAACATAGCATGAATAGAAATCCAATATCAATTAATGTTAACTATTGACAGCAGGGAGAAATAATAATCACTGTATGTCAATACAGTAAGTTATAATCTTTTAAAAACCTAAAAATTAAATGTTGCACAGATAAGTTCATGCCTTCAAGACCACATGAAGCAATGCAGATGGGAAGCTAATGGATATTCTCTTCTCAGAGGACATCAAAAGGGGACATTTGGAGCATTCCAGGACTCCCCTTGTCCTTGCTGCCTTGCAGGAATAGAGGGAGATGTGTACCCCAAAATAAGGCAGTTTGACAGGCTGGAAACTGTGCTACACCAAAGGCTGAGGGAGGCTTTTGCCCTCCCCAAAAGCCACCAGGGTGGTCTGTTTGCCTCTCAGTCATCCTTATGAGCTCCCTCTAACCCTTCTCTGTCCTTTTCTCTCCTATTTACCATGCTTCAGAAAACATCATTGTATTCCTCCATCATTTCACCCTTCCCTTGGGATGTGTGTGAGCGCTGTCTGAACACGTCCTCTCTTCTCTGGGTTCATTTTCCCTCTGATGCAAATCAGAGACAGTGAAAGCCCCAGTCCCTGATCACTTCTCTGTGTCAGCAGCTGCTCTAAAATCCAAGCAGCTTGCCCCTAAATTTTAACCTGGCTATGCAAATAGTGATAAAATTGTGTTTTTTCATACATTTAGGAATATTTTTGCTCAGGTTTCTCTGGGCTTGGCCATGGCAAACATAGCAAAAGATACCCCGTTTTGATAGACCTTCTGGGCTGTCATAAGAGGGAAACACATATAGAAAGGAAACAGAGCAGCTGTGGCAATTTTCAAGTATGGGGAAAAAATGCCAGGTGTGATAGGGTTGTTAGGGACTTGGCTTGACTAGCTAAAGAGAAGCAGCAGATACAGGCCAGTAATTGTATGTGTGTTTCTGCAAGCTGACCTTCCTTTGAAGGATGCTACAGTGCAGCACCTCCCCCTAAGGAGTAAAGAGTGCTGCCGAGAGAGGATGTGAGAAACTAAGAAAATGTGCTTTCTTGCTGCTGCTTGCCTGGTGCCTCCTCTTTGCTACAGGAGCAGGAGTCATCTGCATGCCAGATTACAGCACACTCTCTAATTTATGTTTTCACTTTTTAACATGCAGCATTCAATAACCTGCATCCTACAGCAGCCCAAAGGGATAGAAACCTCTGTTCTGTAAGACTTGGCCCATTTAGCTCATTGCCGCAAGTCTGAGGGCGCTGATGAAATTGAGAGTCAGGAAAATGGTTCTAAACTTTTTATCTGACACTACAATTGAAGTGGCTGAACTTCTAACCATCTGCCTTGTAACACATATGGTATTCCTAGCTGCCCACCACTGCTTTTGCTAGTGCCACTGAGCAAAGGTGAGAGAATAATAGTTACTATGACAAGAATAAAGAGTAGGAAATGACAAGTTGCATATGCATTTGCACTGCATATTGCAGTGTGATTTGTCTTTTTATCTGAACATCTCTTTTTACTGTAAGGTCTAGCACAGAATTAAGCAAATGGATTATATCTCTGCTTCTACTTTTATTTCTGCCCTTTCTGGAAAAAAAAAAAAAAAACAACAAACTTTTATTCTCTATTTACCCAAAGCTATTGCTTTTACTACTGCACTTACATTCCCTGTGACAACCAGCCCAACCTTTGATTTGGGGACCTTCTGGATCTCCCAGTCTCTGACAGATTCTGGTTTTATCAGACTGATAAAACCAGTCTCCTGCCTGCATTGCACCCCACTGGGGGTACATGGAGGTGAATTGTGAAACCCTTGGCTACAGCAACTACCTCACAGACACAGATATCCTGAGGTCTAGAAGTCTTGTCAGATTCTGGAAGATGTTTATAATCCATTCCAAAAGCACACCCTCACTTTCATAGATTAGTGTAGCAGTTTTTGTTGTGATTGATGGGGAAGAAGACTTATCCTATTGCCCCTGCTACTTTTTTATTATTTTATTTTTATTATTTAGTAGTTTATTGCTACTGCTGAGAAGAAGGATGGTTCAGGGGTTCTGAAGCAGCACTTGCTCTTAACCATCCAGTTGGCTCTGTCCAGGATAAGTCTGTGGCAGGGTGACACAGTGGAAGGGACCCTGGGAGCTGGCCAATAAGTTGGAAAAGCAAGCGGATGTGCAGACAGTGAAGGAGATGTGGATACAGATGGGGATATGGATATGGATGAGGCTGGGGATGCAGGCACACCTGTGGCATTGAGGACAGGTCCTTCTCTGTGGATTTCATAATGTGCAGTAGAACATCAAATGATTTACAACTGTGACAAACTTGCTTATGGGCACACAGCATTTTAGAAAGAAATAACCCAAAAGAAGTGCTGATTGCAGAACTGTTTTGAAGTACTATTCTCAAAACTGGCCTTTTGATTTTCTGCCTGGGTTTTCTTATCTGTAAATAAGCTTAATATTTAATTCAGGCATCCTATTTGGTTTAATTGGTTGATAGTTTTAGCTTAGAAAGTTAAATCTTATGTGCATTTTACTTAGTTTTGCTTACCATTAATTTAGCTGCTACTTTAATGAGTGGCCCTAAGCTTTTCCTGTGAGCAACATCTGAAGCCAGAGCTCTGCCAGTCTTTAAGCAATGAGAGACATTCTTCTGACTGTCCTTGTCAGAGCAGGGGGAAATCTCACAGCAATTCTCCATGATGGTCTCTTGGTGTGGGCCATGGACCAGAGCAGCACAGGGTGTTGCTTCATTCACCAGCTGGGATTAGCCGCTCTCCAGGCTCAGGGAAGAAGTCCCACGTAAAATGGCACTAATGAAAGAGGTAAAGCAGAGAAAGTTTCTTCATCCTCTTCTTTCCTTGGCATCAGTTAGCATAGGGACTTCAGCATAATATTATTATAACATTTTTTTTACAGTAGGAATTAGAATTGAAATTTGTTATGTATGAGGATAACTAAAATTCAATCATTTCACACTCTTCAGTCCATGCCTGAGGACGTTTTGGGGTAAATAGATTGCTTAGAAACAGCCAGTGACTACAGCTAAAATTACATTTTACCAACTGAGCTGAATGACTTTTTAATTACAACACTGATGTCCACACACTGTCACCACCGTCTAATACTAAGATGGTATTGATTTGATTTTTAACTTTGATGTACCAGGGGAGAAAATGCAGAGTAGGATTTTTTTCTGAAATCCTTTTTCCAAAGTAGTCAAGAGCCCCAGCTCTAAAATGATGGGTTGCTTTTTGTCTGTCTCCTTTTTTGTTTGCTTGTACCTTGAATATTGTATCTGTCCACCTTGAATTTGTTTAGTTGTATACAAACATTTTGAAATTAAAATTTATAATTTCATGGTACTGGTAAGCCTCAGTAACAAATTTTTGTTACACATTAAAATGTTACATGAAACAACTGAAAAAGCTACCAAGCAGACATATCAGCCACAAAAATCTACAAGACCACAACCTTCTGTGATAATGCAATCTTAGTGCATTAATTTCCTCAAATAGAAATTACAAATGCTTTGGGACCAAAATGTCAAGGATCTTCTATTTTATGAGAAAGTACTTATTTTTAAAGATATATTCTGTATCTTTACTGTAACAGAGACTGATCACGAAGTTCTCCTTAGAGCAAGGGAGTCTTTTCCCTTTGTGAATGCAGACCTTTCCTTCTCTGTATAAGGAAAAATTTGAAAAACTTGCCCAGGATAAACCTTTAGTTTGCAAAAGGATTGCTATCTTGTCCATGAGCTGTTCCACGAGGAAGCCAGAGCCACAAGGCATCACTTCCTGGGCTGCTGTGCTCTGTGGAGAAGAGAAAACTAGCTCCTGCCCTGCAGACTACTCCACCCCCATCTTGCTTAGGTTCAGATGAAGAGCTAAAAGAGGCTATTTCACATCTGTATGTGAACATCTAGTAATACTGGCCAATACATAGGTTGGTGATTCAGAACTGGGAAGAGTGGAGTTGTCCCCAAATCCATTTAATCTGAAGGCTCTCTAACTACCAACTGCTGTGGGTTTGGAGGTACATTTGCACAAGCACTGTGGAAAAGGGAATCCATTTACCATGCAGGTGGGACACCGGTCTATACAGGTATTCCTTGTTGTCGTGGTTTAACCCCAGCCTATTGGTAGAGCTGGGAATACAGCTGACATCATTAATATCTGAGCTAATAAAAAGGAAATGAAAGTATATTAACTGCACCCACTGCATAGCCATAAAGGCAAAGGTCTGTCTGAGATTAACAAACAGCTTTTCAGTGGAGACAGGGCTATAACTCACTTCAGGGGCTCTGATCTTTGATGAGTTTATGAATGAAAACAAAGCTCAAGCGAATGAATTACGGACGTGATTCACTCCGTTGTCTCATACACTTTTATGACCTTTTAGTGTTTTAGTTGCCAGGAGGATGGGATGCTGGTATGGCCTCCAGGAGCCCTTTTCTTGAGCCCTGGCTTAGTTAAGGACTTGAAGTGTGTCCTTGGGAAAATCTCTTTAATATACCTCACATCTCTGCTCCCCATCTGTAGAACAGGAATGATCATTTTGTGTCATTTGTGTGAAGGTCACATGAATGTCAAATTCACTAATGAAAAGTTCTAAGTTGTAGCCTACTGTGCTATATTTCCCCTATCATCAGTAGAAATACTCTTATCTACTCCAGCTAATATGTATCTATGTATATATACAATTTCCAACCAAAAGTATTCTGTCAAATAATCAAGCAAAGAGCAAATAGAGCCAAAAGAATAGGGAGAAATGAGGGGGAGAAGCAGCTGTGGTGACCAACTCTAATGCTCCCACCCTAATTACCTCATGAAGTCTTGGCATGGTCAAGAAAACAAAAGGGAAGAAATAATTTGGACTTCTATGATGTTTTTCAGGGTTCAGAATTCCAGCCTTTTTACCACAACCCACAAAGTCAGAGAATTACATGAGAAAAGTGGTGGTTTTCATGGAACTGTGTGACTGCTGGATCTGGACCTTTCCAGATCAAAACAGTTGCTGCAACATGTGCAACAACAGCATGAGGTGTTTGCCATGATGCTAAAGAAAAAATATTGCATGAACAGAGTATGCCTTGGGTTGTTTTGCTTTTTGCTGGGGCTGAATTTAAGAATAAGGGTGTGGTCAACCCATTCCCTGGAAGATTTCTTATCCTGCTGATCTTTCAAGTAGAATTTTGCCCCAGGCTGACTGATCTTGTAAACCCAGCTCTGCCCTGAGAGAGTTGATTTTGTAATGGGTATTATCTAGAATTTTACCCTGTAGAAATTACAGTAAATTCCATTACCCCTGTTAGGACCATTACCAGTACTTTGTACGTATTATTTCAAAATGTTTATGCATATCACTTATGATACATTAAAACAACCTCTTAGCAACATATTTTGAGTACTCTACCATCTTTTGGAGTGTGGACAAAATGAAGGGAAGGCATGGATTTTATGCAAATACACAGCTTCTGAAGGGTTAATGAACAATGAGGAATTTGTGTATAGCTCATTAATTGTTATATTGCATCCCTTTATCTAAATTGTTAGTGGTCTGCTTAGTCAATTGAAACATATTACTTTGATATTAAAGCTGCAATCAAAATCTTTATTCTTGTGCATGTTCTACTTGAGAATACTAATCCTTCAGAATAGGGCAATTGGAATTATCTTGAAAAGTATTACAATTCAATAAACCATATGCTCAAAAATAGAAACATCAGGTTCAGCCAAATATCCTAGGAACTGATGCAGTTATTTTGACTTTCCCATATAAACAGACCAATTTTAAATACTGTATGGAAAAGCCCAATAGGGCTTGGGTTTAAATTCTGGCCTCGTGTTCAAGGAAAATGAGGATGATAATTCTATGCCAGCACATCACACAAAATTAGCTTTGCTGTGGTAGTACAACAGAGCCCTGCACAGGGAGGGTGGTTATTGTGGATTGTGATATGGTACATGAAAGTTTTTATATTTGCTACATCAGCCCAGAGTGTTCCAACTAGTTATGTGTGGTGTATTTGCTCTAGATTTTCTCTCTACATCAAGGAGTGAGAGAAGAACTTTAAAACCTCTCCCGATATCAGAGAGGCTTAGTTATCTTGACAAAATTCTGTTTTCACCTCAATGGAGATAGCAGCGTGGACACATTCCCAAATTAGGCATCTACATTACTCCCTAGAAGGATGGGCACAAAGAAGGATGAGCATGGCCCTTAGTGCCCAGGTAGCCCAGGGATGCTGCAGAGCCACATTGCATTAGGCCTGTGTCAGGCCAGCCCAAGGTTACAAGCAGTTTGAGTGGAAGACAAAAGCAATAAATGGAGCAGACTGAAAAGAAGGGAAATAAGGGGTAACACTGATCAGTAGAATTGGTGTTTAGTCACCTATGTTTTCAATCATCACCAGGAGCAGAGTTTTAAAAGAGAACAGCAGTGGAATAGTCTTAAAGAGGTTTGTGGGAAAGAGGATGCACAGGCACCTCTGCAGCCTTCATTTAAATAAGCCTGAGTGGCTTCATTCACCATGCTGGAGTTGCTTAGGAGTTGCAGAATTGTATTAAGACATGTGGGTTGGGCAGCAGAGTGATAAAGATTTTGTCTTGGACACAGGGAAGTATTGAGAAGCTCAGTGTAACTGTGCCCATGCACTCAAGTGTGCACACCAGCAGTGAAGGCACAGAGTACCTTCAGCTGTCTAGAGTGTTGAGGTGCACCACTTAGAGCATTTCCATTATGTTTTAGGTTTTCTGAAAGAGCCAGCAATACACAGAGCTCTCTTCATTTATTTACCCTGCTAATTTAGAAGGTGCTGTGATCAGCATGTGTCTATGTAGAAGTATGTCTCTGTGTGTGTGTGCATGCACATTCAGGTGTTCAAAATGCCATATTACTGGGAGCAATAATTCTATAAATAGGGAAAATTACAGACCAGTGCAGTAGAAGAATGAATACCCATATTAATATTCTGGTTGTTTCCAAGACAAAAGAAGGATAAGAGCAGGAAGTGAAATAGGATTGTTCAGTCAGAAATGTCTTTCTATTATCCAAGCTGTTCACAGAAACCTGTGTTTCCATTCATCTGCTTTTGCATCTCAGATTGCTAGTGTCGTGACAGCATTTATTAAGAAATATTATGTAGTGGGTGAAAAAACATTTCACATATTTTGCTGTTAAAGATAATTTGTTCAGTGGACATCAATTAAAAATCCAGTTTTCCGAAATGCACTTTTTAGTGTTAAATTTGATGATATCAACTCAAATAAATCAAACTTGACTGCAACCTAAGGAAAACAAATGCTTGATCATTGTTTTAAAACACATGGTAAATAGAAAGCTCAATAATGAGGGGATGGTGCCAAGAATGCCAGAATATCATCTTCTTACTATGATTCAACTTAAGGTCGGTGACATTGATGTAACTTTGACGTCAAGAGAGGAAATATTTCATAGTAAACAGAGCAAGAATGAATCCCCTTGGAACAGTAAAGGTATAAATTGCTTTAGTTTTCATTTCTGTTCTGCTAAATTTGTATTTCATGTGTGGGATTGTAATTGATGACTGCTTACTTGTCTGGATGAAGAAGGTTGAAAAAAATGCATTCTGATTGTCAAGGTTGTTTGTGTTAGTGGCTAAAATAGCAGTCATCATGCTGAAATCTTTGTAAACAACATGCAAGCAATTCTTTTCTTCTTAAGGAAAACAGAAAAGGAGAAAAGAAGCTTCCAAGCCTAAATGTCCTTGTATCATCTGGATGACATCTGGGAGTATAATGTACAAATTTTCCTGGAAATATGATTTGTATCAGCTAAACAAACTCCAGTGTACCAGTTAAAGCATTAGATCTTCAGTTAAAGCTTTGAGGGATTTGAGGAGATTTTAACACCAGGTATCCTAATTCCCTTTCTTCCGAGGTTCACAGATAAAAATAAAGAGGTTTCTTCCATAGTATTTGTCAGTAAATACTGTAAAATCTATAATTATTATTTTCATATGCCAATTTCTCAAGTCTTCCAAAGACTCCCAGTTGCCTCTCATTATCTGATAGTCCCACATTTAAATTTCCCCTGATCCCTTACAGACAAGATTATGTTCCAGTTAACAGTGTAATTCATTAACATTCTCTGTGTTGTAGAGGAAGCGAAGCAAAACAAAGCCCTCTCCAGTTAACATTATTTTCACATCTTTTCAGGAAGAGGTGGAGTTGTTTCTTTATTTTTCTTTGCTGAGCTTTTATCTTGGTCATTGTTCTCTCATGAGAATTCCAGTGAATTGGAAAAAGAACATACAGTTTTCTTTCCCTATATAGCATATGAGCATGGTCCACCTTCAACAGTATTTGGAACACGTTTTGGTTTTGGTATTATAACAGAGTGAGTGACTGAGACTGAAGATGCTTGGATTTTATCCTGCCCTTGCCTTGGAACTGCCTTGAGGAAGTGACTTTTGTTTGAAGGGGGAAAGCCATCAAGTCTATCTAAGACATGGCAATTGTCAGAGCCTGATGAGTTAATGAAAGGGAAAAGACAACACTGAAACCAGTGGCAAAGGACTCAGATCAGTGACCCAGAGACTCGTTCCAGTTCTGTCTTATTCTGTTTATTAAGTCTGATTAGGGTTAAATCAGAAATGGAGTTTATGTTATCTTATTCAAGAGCAATGAAAGCAGCTTAGATTTGTTTATGGGAGAGTGGAATCCATGGAGAACCCATATTTAATTTCAGAAATGAATTTTTTTTTTCATTTCATTTAAGGAAGTAATGTCAAGTTATTCCTCTTGGGTCAGTTTTCAGAGCCCATAATAAAATATTTGTAGTACTTTAAGGGAGAATTCTATCTAATTGGGAAACATCTGGAAGAGAAAGGAATCTGAGAAGGATCAGTAGCGCACCTCTTTTTACTCTGAACTGGATGAATTTTGCAGTTTTCTATATTCACCCTTTGCTTTTCCTGCAATGTGTGATGTATAGAGAGTCCTTCATACAGATGTTTTTCTCAGCTGGCAACACTGTTCATTCTAAGATGGGATAAGTCTGTAAGTTTGCAAGTCTGACTTCTCTCTTATAGGCATCCTGATCCTTTGGGTGATTTTTGGGTAAATCCACCATATCCCATAGATCCCTTCCCTTCTGTGGATCTCTAGTGTATTTAATTTTTTCTTCAAATGGATGTATTGTCCCTGATCCAAGAAAGCATGTATAAGAGACTAACAGTATGTTTTAAAGCAAGGATGAACAACAGGTTTACAGAAAATACGTATTTGAGACTTTTGACCAACTGTGTTTGTTCACTGGTTAGTATTAATACAACTCAGACTGCAACTGCTCCACTGCAAGAATACATGTTTATGTTTTGTTTGTGCATAAGCTGTAATTGTTATGGAGCCTATTCCCTGGAAGAAACATGCAAATAAATCATTATGTGTTTTTCTGTGCTCCATTATACACTTCATTCAGTTCACTGCCTTCACAAGACCCAAGAGTACTAGGATGTGATAAAACAGTGGCAAAGGCTGTTCCATTGTTGATTTCCACAGTGCCATCCTCTCTGGTACTCAGGCAATCAAATAACCTTATGCTCACAGGGCATATACCTCAAAAATTGCAAGGAAAAGATGCAGAGTAGGTCTTTGATCCATCCCATGTCTTGTCCTTTGCACATCATAAAAGGACTCCACCTGCTGTAATTAGAAAAGGTCCAAACTTACTTAACTGTAGCCTTTGCAAAACTGTTGCATGTCAACAATTACTTTTGGGCAACCAATAGGTCTGACTCAATTTATTTGCATTTGCTGGGGTTTGTATTACCATCCTTTTTTTTTTAAAGGGAAAAAAATGTGTATCCCCCTACACATGCACACTGTCTTCTAGTGGTATTGTAAAATACACTCTTCTGGACTCTGGGTTGCTGTAATGTTGTTTCAGCTGATAAGTGTTAACAAGAAGCCAATACAATGGGGTATGAAGGAAGCATGAGAGCTCC